CTATTAACGGCCTTGTGTCCATATCCATTCATGAGCTCCAACAAGTAAAGCTTTAAACTTGGTGAATCGGCCGCCATTCTAGCTCACATAGGTAGACCTTTTCAAACTGTGTTCTGCAATCAAACACTTTATCAAAAGATCTATTAAGACATAGTCAACCTCATTACACATTGCAGACTCAAGCACTTACCTCGAGATGGTTATTATTCAAACGTGCTCCAACCACAGAGTGACTTACTCATCGTCATTGAACTCAAGATCTAGCGTTGTACTAGACGTTGAGTTGGGCTTTCTTTCACTTGTGATTATTTTCTAAGGGCTTTAACCCCATCCCTTTTGCAGTTTTGTACACCATATCTCTTGGCATTGCTTTTGTAAAAGGATCCGCCAAATTCACATGCGACCGTACAAAATCAATCACAACAACTCCAGAACTAATAAGTTCCCGCACATAGCTGTGCCTCACTCCTATGTGTCTTGACTTACCATTGTACACATGGTTATAAGCTTTCGACAGAGTTGATGCGCTATCACAATGGATTGATATCGGAGCCATAGGTTTAGGCCATATTGGGACTTCTGACACTAAATCCTTTAGCCATTCTGCTTCTTTACAAGCTGATGCTAAAGTTATAAACTCCGAAGCCATGGTAGAGTCCGTGATACAAGTTTATTTCTTAGATGCCCATGATATAGCACCTCCTCCAAGAAGAAATAACCATCCACTTGTGGATGAATAATCCTCTTGATTAGTTAACCAACTCGCATCCGTATAACCTTCTAATATAGAGGGTTCACTCTTGTAACATAAGCCGAAGCTCATTGTTTTCTTTAGATATTTCAGCACTCGCCTCAAGGCTTGCCAATGAAATATACTAGGATTACTAGTATATCTACTTAGCTTTCCTACCACAAATGCAATATCTGGTCGGGTGCTAGTCATTGCATACATCAAACACCCAATCACCCTAGCATATTCAAGTTGTGATACAGCGTTCCCACTATTTGGAACTAATTTCCAACTAGGATCCATGGGAGTGGAAACCGGTGAACAATCCAAACTCCCAAATCTTTTCAACACTTTCTCTATATAGTGAGATTGTGTTAAGGTGATAGTATCACCTTGCTTGATTATCCTAATTCCAAGGATAACTTCCGCTTCACCCATATCTTTCATGGAGAAGTTTGAACAGAGGAAAGCCTTTGTCTCATTTACTTGCCTAATGACACCATTACCATGCTCATTAAATTTGCTATATACGCACTTGTCTGATTGGTTTATTTTAAAACCATTTTTTAGCACCACTTCATCAAATCTTTGATGCCATTGTTTAGGTGCTTGTTTCAGACCATACAAGGACTTGACAAGTTTACAAACTTTCTTTTCTTGTCCTTTAACAACAAACCCTTCGGGTTGTTTCATATACACTTCCTCCTCCAATTCACCATTTAAGAATGCAATTTTGACATCCATTTGGTGAATCACAAGATTGTGAATGGCTGACAAAGCAATTAACAATCTTATGGTAGTTATTCTGGCTACCGGTGCATATGTATCAAAGTAATCAATACCATGTTTTTGTTTAAAGCCTTGTGCAACCAATCTAGCTTTAAACTTGTCAATGGTACCATCTACTTTCATTTTCTTCTTGAAAATCCATTTACAACCGATTGGTGTGCAACCGGGTGGTAAATCACTTAGAACCCAAGTATTATTGCCCATGATTGAATCCATTTCATCATTCACGGCCTCTTTCCAGAAGGAAGCATCTTGTGATTTCATTGCCTCCTCAAAAGAGTTAGGATCCTCCTCAACACTATAACAATATAGTGTTTGAGTTTCAAGGGTCTCTCTTGATCCCTCAACCAAATACAATTGAAAATCAGGACCAAATGACTTTTCTTTTCTAGCCCTCTTACTCCGTCTAATTTCAGGCTCATTTTCATGACCCTTTTCCAGTTCATGAAAATTTGAATTACTTGGACTGAGATCAACATTTTTTGGCTTAGGAATAGAAGTGAACCGCTTCTCATCGAAAAGAGCATCCCTAGACTCAATAACGGTATGAACCGCAATTGAGTCATTCGGTTCAATAACATAGAATCGATATGATTTGCTATGTTCAGCATATCCAATAAATATGCACTCTATCCCCTTTTCACCTAACGTTTTTCGTTTAGGTTCCGGTAATCTCACGATTGCCCTACAACCCCATACCCTAAGATAACTTAGTTGGGGTGTTCTTTTGTGCCAAAGTTCATATGGGGTTATTTTATTTCTCTTGTTAGGAACTCGATTAAGAATATAACAAGCAGTTAACATAGCATCACCCCAAAATCCATTACTTAAGCCCGAAATAGACAACATGGAATTAACCATTTCTTTTAAAGTTCTATTTTTTCTTTCAGCTATGCCGTTTTGTTGCGGCGTGTAAGGGGCTGTTGTTTCATGGATTATTCCAACGGATTCAAAAAATTTAGGCTCATAATATTCTCCTCCTTTGTCAGTTCTAAGCCTTTTTACTTTCTTTCCGGTTTGTAACTCAACTTCCGTTTTAAAAACTCTGAATTTATCCATTGCCTCATCTTTTGAAAATAAAAGGTATATGTAACAATATCTTGTGCAATCATCAATAAATGTGACTACATATTTTTTATTTCCAAAAGAAGGAGTGCTATGGAAATCACACAAATCACTATGCACTAATTCAAGCATGTTGGATTCTCTTTCAACATTTTGAAAAGAATTTCTAGTGATTTTGTTTAACATGCAAGTCCTACAATTTTCTATGTTCATATTAAAAGGAGGAATTAAACCTACTTTAGACATGTCACTTAGTCTACGATAATTAACATGACATAACCTATTGTGCCACAAAGTAGAATTACTAACCATATACACAGAATTAACAACTTTATTTACAATACTTAGTTTGAACATGCCATTACAATAGAAACCTTGGCCAACAAATACACCACCTTTAGATAAAATAAACTTATTTGCTTCAAAGCTAAGTTTAAACCCAAAGTTATTTAGGATGCCACCAGAGACAAGATTTTTTCGGATTTGTGGTACAAAGTACACATCATTAAGAATTAATTTCTTTCCGGAAGAGAATTCCAACTCTACTTGCCCAATTCCTTGAATTTGCACAATAGAGTCATTTCCCATGTATAAGATCGGCCCCTCTTGCAACTCTTTTAAAGTCTTAAAAGCTTGCCTATCTTTACATACATGTCTTGTTGCTCCGGTGTCGATCCACCAAGATTCATCATCCTGCACAACACAAATTTCAGAAAGCATAGCTACAAAAATCATGTTGTTATCAACATCATTTGTAACTATAAAAAGATTCTGACCTTGGTTGTCTTGGCCACCATTTGGATGGCCATTCGGTTGGGCTTTCTTCTTCTTCACCTTCGGGCAGTCCCTCTTGAAGTGTGGACCACCACATTCCCAACAAGAGCCTACTTTCTTATCTTTCGGCCTCTTTTGAAACTTGGAACCTTTGGTGAATTTCCCGGGACGTTTTTTATTTTTCTTAGTCGCACTCGATTGTCCCTCCTCCATTGTCACCTTCACGCAACTTAATGCCTTCTTCAATTTGAAGTCGGCGACCAAGTTGCTCCATTGACAAATCCTCCTTTTTGCGTTTGAGGCTATTTTTCACTTCCTTCCATGTAGGTGGTAATTTGTCGATAATAGAACCGACCGCAAAGGTTTCATTAACATGCATGTTATGAATCAAAAGTTGATCATATAAACGCTGAATCTCATGAAATTGCTCCATGACCGGACGTGAATCCACCATTTTGTAACTATTAAAGTTACTAATGAGAAATTTCTTACTTGAAGCATCCTCGGTCATATATTTAGATTCTAGAGATTCCCACAGCGTTTTAGCATACTCAACATTTTGATACACATCAAATAGAGAATCGCACATACCGTTCAAAATGTGCCCACGACAAATGTAGTCGTCATTATCCCACTTTATGCGGCGGCGGCTTGTCTCCAAAGACTCGTTTTCTTCTTCCTCGGGCGGCCTCGGGGTGCTTAACACATAGACCACTTTCAAAGTGGTGAGCAAAAAATGCATCTTTTTCTGCCACCTTCGAAATTCCACACCTTCAAATTTTTCCAATTTTTGAAAATTGGTGTTGATATCACGTTGCGTAGCGGCCATATTTACGGAATAGTAAACTTTTAGATTGTTAGAACCGGAGGATAAAATTAGTATATTATAAGGGTGTGAAAAATATGGTTGGACCGGATATCACTTCTAGTCACGTATAAATACGCTTTCCTAAAAGTTTACTATCTACCCTTATCACAGTAACCGGGTTACAAGATAGAACTTTTGGGATAAAAAGAAGGTGTACAAGTGTATTTTAGCTACTGATAAAATAACACTTAACAAGTGATTTGTATATAAAGTGATCTAAACACTTAAATACTAACGCTGCAGATATTAGTATTCAATAAGGAAAGAGAAGACTGAAAAAATAATCTTTTTATCTCGATCAAATGGTCCTGCTATTTATAATGGAAAAATTCTTTGCATATCGGCAGTTAACAAACTGGCCGTATGTAAAAGTCATATACGTTCAATTAAAAGGTGTGGCTTACATTCTATGCAAATCGGCAGTTATCAAAACGAAAAGGTGCGGCTCTTTATAAAAAATATATACATTCTATTAAAAATATTTCCATGTAATTTACTTTAAAATTTGAACACAAAAAGGTGCTGCGCCAAAGTACGTACATGGATGGCCACTTCTAAAACTTAACATTTACAAAGAGCACAAAAGTGCAAATGTAATAAAGTAATATTATTATAATTATTATGACACTACAACGTGCACACATGTAGTTCTCATAATATCTATATTAAATATTACTTTAACACCATTTAACAAATCACACCATTTATTTATAAAAAAAAATTAAGGACCATGTAGTATAATAATTGAGCTTTACTTCAATAAATTTCCAACAGGTTCTACTGGCGACGTATGCTTTAGAGGATCAAATGTGACTAAAGGGTACAAAAACCACCATGAAGCCAATAAATCAGCCTCCGAATTCAGGTGGTTACAAACTGGAGATCTTGGATACACTGGTTCTGAAGGGTATTTACATCTTGTCAGCAGGATCAAAGAGATCAACCGCGGAGGTATGTATGTAATACTCCATCCGCTATCCGTCATAAAATGACTCCCCATTTGGTTTTGGCATGGGAGCAAAACTGTTGAAATAATGTGATCCAAATTTGTTACAAAATATACAAACGATAGAAATTGCTCAAAATAGGATTAAAACATAGACAAAGTTGAAAAATAGGACTACTCATATTTTATTCTCAAAAGTGAACCTATTTATTCCTACTAAAAAATTAAAAACAATAATATTTTGATTATTTTCTTATTTTAAAAGTGAACAAGTCTATTTTGGAAAGAAAATATTTTGTGTTTTACACCTATTTAGAGATTCTTCTCAACCAAGCAATTATTTTCTAATAACTAAGAATGTGAGAAACTTATTTTGGAGGAGTACCGTAATACAGGAAAATATGTTGCTCTTTATAAATCCTATGTTAGGCAATAACAGCTTTTTGCAATTAAAAATGTTATTGTAGGAGGGAAAATATCACCCATTGAAGTGGATGCTTGCTTGGTATCCCATCCAGAGATTGCTCAAGCTGTTGCTTTTGGAGTCCCTGATGATAAGTATGGCGAAGAGGTGAGAGACCAATCTGTTTGTATATCAATTGCTTTTATCCAATTTCATTCCTGATGTTTATCTTTTCTAATATAAATTTTGGGATTTATTTATTCCATAAAAGGTGTATATATGTTCTCTGGCATATGGTTCAAAGCCATATTTGTTCGTTCTTCCCATTTTGATATGTCCCTCCATTCCTAAAGTTTTGCCTACTTTTCCAATGCGGCTGTCCAAAATTTATGCTACTTTCACTTTGAGAAAAGAATTTGTTATTTACACAATTTCTCATTTGTCGGTATAAAACTCTCTCATAATTTTAATGTCTTCAGAACTTGTGTCAGTCTAACCAGTTTAGGATAGAGGGAGTAAGTCTTTCACAAAAGTTATACTATCTCAAGTCTCAACACCAGCTGAAGGTCTTATCCACTTATTTGTGGTCAACCTTGAGCTCTTTTAACCTCAACTTTTTTTTTGCCCTATTTAGTTTTGGTTTATGCAGTTCAATAAAATTATTGGTTTATTTTCAAATTTTCAACTATTGATAATAACTTAAATATTACCAGGAGAGAGTAAACTTTAACTTCCTAATCCCAACCAAACACTATCAGTTTGGAGGAAGGTAAATACTACCTTCTTAGTTCTTGCATGCATAATTTTAGGGGGTCTCGTATGACTCCACTATGTAGTCATATGAGCTGACTAGGTCTCATTATGACCATTCATTTTTATAGTGAAGTCAGAACTGATAATTCCATTATGAAAGTAAGTGGCCATAGTAAAGTCATATGAGACTCCATAAAATTACTAAATTACTAAACATGAGTTATGCTAGATTGTTTGAATGATGTTCATAATTTTTGCATTGATAAACCCTAAGTTATTTATTTCAGCAAAGTAATACTCCCTCCGTCCCGAAAAGGTTTGCCAAATTTCCTTTTTTGGATGTCCCAAAAAGATTTGCCATTTCCATTTAAAGTAAGGAATATATGGCTAAAGTTAATTCTCTCTCCTCTGCACAAATTTCAACCATACAGTTTTTACTTTATTAATCTACGTGAAAGTCAAAGTTGGCGAACCTTTTCGGGACGGAGGAAGTACATTTTTAGAAATTGCTTTACAGGAAAAATGGGAACTTAATATTAAATGCTCTCTTAAGTCTTATAACAGAGAAAGCATTTGGAATAGTATAACCGTTGAAAAATAATCCCATTTTAAGAGGTTATATATGATATTCATACTATCTAAATATATGTCAAGAATAATAACAAGTTTTTCCATAAAGTATCTAACAGTAGTGTTGACATGACCGTCTTCCTGAGATGTGGCCATTTCAAAATCTTGAATTATTTTTCACCTGTGACTAATTGTTGGTACTTGGTAGTACTGCATATCACTTTGGTGTATAGCAATGGTTGAAATTATCTATACCAGCACATCAGTTCAATTTCTTTTTAAAAGAAACACATTATTTTGGTATACATAAAACATTAGCTACCCGATTCTTAAAGTTGGGATTATTTATAGCTATAGCCAATTGCTGATATCCATTTAAAGCTATTTATAATCTTAAAGTTTAAGATAGAGGGAGTAAGTCTTTCACAAAAGTTATACTATCTCAAGTCTCAACACCAGCTGAAGGTCTTATTCACTAAATTTGTGGTCAACCCTGAGCTCTTTTAACCTCAACTATTGTTTATCAAATTTTTGCCCTATTTAGTTTTGGTTTTTGCAGTTCAATAAAATTATTGGTTTATTTTCAAATTTTCAATTATTGATAATAACTTAAATATTACCCGGAGAGTAAACTTTAACTTCCTAATCCCAACTTTGACTCCATATGACCACTACGGAGTCATATGAGCTGACTTGGTCTCATTATTACCATTCATTTTTATAGTTAAGTCATAACTGATGATCCCATTCTGAAAATAAGTGATCATAGTGAAGTCACATGAGACTCCATAAAATTACTAAATTACAAAACATGAGTCATGTTAGATTGTTTGAATGATGTTCATGATTTTTGCACTCATAAACACTAAGTTATTTATTTCTGCAAAGTAATACATTTTTAGAAATTAACTGAATATTAAATGCTCTCTTGAGTCTTATAACTGAGAAAGCATTTGGAATAGTATAACCGATGAAAAATAATCCCATTTTAAGAGATTATATATGATATTTGTTCTCTCTAAATATATGTCAAGAATAATAAAACATTTTTCCATAAAGTATCCAACAATAGTGTTGACATGACCGTCTTCCTGAGATGTGGCCATTTCAAAATCTTGAATTATTTTTCACCTGTGACTAATTGTTGGTACTTGGTAGTACTGCATATCACTTTCGTGTATAGCAATGGTTGGAATTATCTATACCAGCACATCATTTCAATTTCTTATTAAAACAAACATATTATTTTGGTATTCATAAAACATTAGCTACCTAGGATGTTTTTACTTGAACTGTAATTTGCTGGTCTGGTCTGGTTTCTTTGTATTTTTATAACTATCCAAGTCTAGTCTGGTCTGGTCTGGTCTGGGACGAATTACAGTCCAAGTAAAAACATCCCTAATTCTTAAAGTTGGGATTATTTATAGCTATAGCCAATTGCCGATATCCATTTAAAGCTATTTATAATCTTATTTGGATGGGGGAAATTTATTAAGAGTTTGCAAAAAATTGCAACTAATGACTATTTACTTTGATTTTTACTAGATAAACTGTGCAATCATTGCAAATGAAGGAGCAACCATTGATGAAGAGGTGTTGAAATTCTGCAAGAGATATTTTGTGGCCTTCAAGGTTCCAAAGAGGGTGCTCTTGACTGATACCCCCCTAAAACTACCACAGGTAAAATCCTTAGGAGGCTAGTTGCACATCACTTCTTTGCACAAATCTCTATTGCTCAGCTTCCCAGGATAGCCTAGGAATTGTCTTCTTCGCCGCTCATGCCCCAAAAATAAAGGTGGATGGGGCAACATTTCCCCCATTATGTACCCTTCGCCTGGATGTGTGTATCTCAGCATCCTTTTTGGTAACCAAATTAATTTTTAAAACAAAACTGAAGGAAGTTGAAATCTTTCAAGCAGTTACCATATTGATACTCTGTAATGCAACATCATATTTGTTTAATAATGATAGCTCTTCTTTATTAATTTATGTGGGGTTGAAGAAATGAAAGTTTCGGAATTTAAAATCGCGTAGTGATGTAAAAAAGGCTTGATCGAGCTATAATACTCTTACTTCTAACGTTTATGTTGGCATTTAGGTACATCTACTCTCCTTCTTCCTTGCTGCACAAACCTGTTGGTCCCGTTTGTAATGGGAACAGTCTAGAGGGGGGGGGGTGAATAGACTGTTCAGGAATTTAAACTTTTCTCTAAGTCAAGTCTGACTTATCAGAGATGGTCGAAATCTGGTGACAGAGATGGTCAAGTTCTGATGGCAGAACTAGACCAGGCAGCGGATAAGTTTCTGTCCGGGTAGCCTCTAGAAGAAAGCTAAGGCAAAATGCCTTTCTGATAACTCTGAAGGAAGATCTGCTGGACACAGATTCCAACCTAAAGAGTTAGTCAGTCGAATCTTAAGTGCAGAAAGTAAAAGCTGAAAGTAAATGACACCGGGGTTTTTATAGTGGTTCAAGGAACAACTCGTTCCTCTAGTCCACTGTTCCACTAAGCTTGCAAAAACGACAGTTTACAACGCCTTAGTCCCTAGAACTTAAGAAGCACTCCTCGTCTTCTTCAAGTCTAGTTGCCACCCGGGATGCAGTCCTGCTTCCTGATGGCTGGTCTCGTTTCACTGAGTCTCTTGAAGTATCTCCACTTCACTTACTCCAGCTAATTTGAGACGTCCCTTCTTTTTCAAGAAGTGTTTGATATAGAATCAGTTTTCTCCAACGTTGCTTCTTCACAAAAGATGAGTATATGAAGCTCTCGAAGTGTTGAAGAACTGAGTAACTTTGCCTTTTCTAGTTGGATGAAGGATGGGAATATTTATCTTCCAACTGTGGCCTTTTCTTGTTAGAAATGGAGTTTTGATCTCAAGAAAGTTGTTCACGCAAATCTATCTTGGCAAAGGTTATGGCAAAGTTATCTTCTTAGTTCTTCAGAGTGTATCTTATATACTGGGAGCGGTCTTCCCGTTGGAGTGTAGAAGACAGCTTCATTAAATGCATGTACTGTTGACTTGACCGTTTGGTCCTCCGACTTGCTATTTTGGGGGCGTAAAGATATCCGCATGGTCAATCATCAGCTTTAAATATCTCTTCGTACGTACAGCATTAAATGTGCATTTAATGCGTGTACAGTGCCATGCTTCCGTTGAAAGGTTCGTAACCGTTAGGGGATTTCCCGTTAGTTTAACGACCGTTGGAAGGGCTTCCGGAATCTGATGATACTTAGCAGAGTCTCAAGAGGTTCTCTGGTCCAGTCTCTGAAGTCCGTCTCTGGTGCCAACTCTGGTATCTTTCTGATAACCAGTTTCTGATAGCTTCTCTAGTGAGCAACTCTGGGAGCAACTCTGGTAGAAGCAAGATGGAACTCTGGCAGGCAGACTAAGCTAAAACTTACAAAAGAAATTCTAATACACAATTTCTAATGGGGTACTTTCAAATTCTAATTAATCCTAGCATCATCAAAATCTAAATACATTTATTCCTTACAAAACCATCATGGGGTCAAAAAAGCAAGTCATAGCAACGACACAATTGGTGCCTCGGGTGCAGTTGATGTTTCTTCGTCAAACTCAAGTGGAAGTCCATTTTTCACGTTGAGAAGTCCTTCAGAAACAAGTGACTTAAGTGACGATGGTGAAATAAAAACGAGGTTACTGGAGGATTCTTGATGGATCCGGCCACATGAGGCCGATTTCCCGGAAATGTGTTCCAAGCAATCAAAAGGGTCACTTCTATCATTGCGTACACATCGAGTAAAGGCCCCCAAATGCCAGGGCAGCACTGCAGCTCCGGATGAACCGAAGCCTTGGGTAAACGGGTTCTGGATTGCTGAGATGATGGTCCAATATGATTTGCTGTATGGTTGGCACGGCCATGTACCAAGTTGCGTTGGAATTGTTCATGTCTGGCTGACAAGTCCACGCACATAACCTCCCGGTGGTTGGGAGCGTCACACACCAGTTGGCTGTGATCAAACTCAACAACCTTGCAATCAACTTGTGAACGTGAAACAGAGGCAATACAGTTACAGTTGATTTTGACTCGGTGAGTTTGCAAACTGATTTGATATTGCTCACTGAAGAGGCTAGGTTAGACCGAGTAAGTGGAAAGCCCTTGCGGCGGCTTGTGGTGCCGGAGGTATGGAAGAATAGTAAAACAACAGATTGAGCGTGAATCAGATTGGAAATTGAATCGGGGTTGGAATCTAGAAGAGCGGGAGAGAGACCAATCTCCGTCTTAGCGATGGAAAGTGTAGCTTAAACCGCTAGAATATTGAGCTTGGCGGACGCGCTTTGAACCGCCTCGTCTCCTTCTTTCGGAATCAACAATAGCTTCCATTCAGTTGGGAAGCCGTAGTCCTAACCTGAGTGGTAGCCAAAAACATTCTCATTAGATCTATCATTCAAATTAATTCAACTAAACATTACAATATACCCTAGGAACACATAAAAGTGAGGTGTTATGTTTGTCTCTGTGATGATTTATTTGGTTGAAAGATGTCTTATATTGCAGATATGATGAATTACTTTTATGCCCTTTAAATATATAACTCTTATAACATAAATACCTTAAAAAATTTAAATGTTAAGGCAAAAAAATATGCAAATAACAAGAATAGACATTCGAATATAATTAATGCTCTATCTGTCCCACCTAAAAGATTCTTACACAATTTATGATGTTTGACTGACCATGAAACTAACCGTTCTATGTCAATACTAAGATTATTTTTTGTAAATAAACTTTACATATTTAGACACTACATTAAAAGTTTTATAAAGTCACAGAAAATTAAATTTGATAACAGTTGAATATATGAAGAAATTAAATGAAAAGAGATAATTAATTGAAGGTATTTTCGGAAGAAAATTAGATCACCCCGGGAATGTGAGATAACCTAAGGCATGGATGGGTTTAACATTCCTCTCCATATAACATTCCCGGGAATGTAACTTTCATGACTTTTCTTCAAACTCGTGAATCAAACAAGGGTATCTAATATTCCGTGCATCACATTCCGTCTTTCATGTGAGATTACCCTCAACTAGGGATGGACCCGGGCCGTTCCAATTCCGGTTCTGGCCCGGGCCTGGGCGGGCTTTTTTTTGCAAATACTTGGGCCCAGAACCGGCCCGGGTTGATACCGGGTCCGGGTCGGGCTCAGTTCAATGTCTATTTTTTTTTGCTTTCTTGTTATCCCCCGACCCCCCTCACCCCCACCCCCAAACCTCCCTAAAACACCCAGCCCTACCCTAGGAAAAGAAAAAAATTGAAAAAAAAATGACCCGGGCCCGGCCCAAACCGCTCGGGCCGGTTCGCCCAAAACTGGGCCCGAGCCCCGCCCTCCCGGCCCACCCAAACGGGCTAAAAGCCCGGAATCGGCCAATCGGTCCCGGTCTGGTCCGGGCTCGCACAGTAGCGGTTCTGGGCCGGGCCGGGCCGGTTTAGTCCATCCCTACTCCCAACCAAATGGTTACTAAAGGTTTGATGAAAGAATCAGTCAAATTATCCTCAGGAGAACATGTTCTACTGCAACTCCTGCTAGGTCTCACTATCTGGTCTTGAATCACATTATAGCTCATTGGCATATGTTTGTTCCTCATGTTGCATTTTGATTCCTTATGCAACAACACCAAATTGTCACAATAAATAATTATTGGATGATAATAAACAGTTATTGTCAACCATAAATCAATAAATATTTAAGAACAGTCTTAACAACATGCAATGCTTTTCTCCTAAATTACTTTAATATAGACAAACCATATTAAGTGCATAAGCCACATATGGTCATGACATAAATAAATGATCCAATACAAGAAACATATTGATTCCTTCTTAGATAACGATATCACATGATTCATTGGGATGAAACCATTCTTGAATTCTTTCATTCTAAATTGTTATATATAGTACTACCTCTATCCCACTAATATTGAGATGAAAGGGAGTGACACGGTTATTAAGAAAAATGGATTTATGTGTTTGATTTTAATTGATAAATTAAAATAAAGTGAAAATGATCATATCATATCAAGTGAAATTGATAAACATATTGATTCCTTCTTAGATAACGATATCACATGATTCATTGGGACCCTTTCCTATGGAAATTTTTGATAAAACGTTTTGAGCATATTTTTCATAAAGTCTAGTTTATTCTAACTAAAATGCAGCTAAAAAATCAATCGAGAAGCCACTTAAATAAATTCTTTACAAAAACTGTGCTTTATATACTGGGGTATATAAACAGCGCAATTTTTGTAAATAATTTATTTAACTATCTTCCTGATTGAATTTTAAGCTGAAATTTAGTGGGTATAAACTAGAATTGATGGTGAACATGCTCCAAAAATTTCACCGAAAAAGGCCCCAAATGGCCTCGGCCGGACGGCAAGTCCTGTCAGGGCAGCCTGACAGCATCAGGTATTCGTGTATGAACTCTAGATTTATACTAAAAATTATGGTTATCATTTTTCAGTTTATTCATGAATCACTATGCGTAAGATTTTATTAATTTGATTGAAGTGTATATTAAACGTTGATAGTGTCATCTTCCTTCTCTCTCTTTTTCGTTTAATTACTTCATTTTAATTCAAAACTTTATTTTACATCTCTGGCCTCCGTTAACTTCATTTTTGTTAATGTCGATTTCTAAACAATTTATAGGGTCACAGAGAAGGGGTGATATTGCTTAAGGGGATTTTGATCACAAATTTGTTCTGAAGGGAGGGATATGATGCTTGAGGAGGTACAAGGTTAATTAGCAGGTTATGCGGCTAATTTCCAGAGCATTGAGGGTGATTTTTTATGATATAGATCAAAGGATCAAGTTCTACAAAGAGTTTGCAGCTATAGTTTATCCCATAATGATAGCAGGAATTACCTCGTAACTAAATAGGATTTGATAATATGAATAAGTTTACTTAGTTATGTTGTTTTGTTATTTGTTCCATGTATTGGTATGTAAAATGTAAACAAGATTGAGAAATGAATCTATTTTTACCTTTAATATTGCAAATTGCAATATTAAAATATTGCAATATTTTAGCACTATATATAAGCACTATATATTTTGCAATAAAGCGCAATATTTTTCAAAGCATATATTTCTCATTTATGCTTTTGATTATTTTGAAAATAATTTCAAAGTTCAAAGTTCAAACTACATATTTTGGCCTTTAAGAATATATTTCAAAGTTCAAATTTTAGCATTTAAACTATATATGTTTGGGCCTTTAAGCATATTTTCAAATTATATATGCGTTTGAATATTATTCTTGAAAAGTGCAGTAATAAAGTATTGCAATATTTTAGCACTATATATAAGCACCGTATATATTGCAATAAAGCTCAATATTTTTCAAAGCATTTATTTCTCATTTATGCTTTTGATTATTTTGAAAATAATCACAAAGTTCCAAGTTCTTTGAGATTAACTTTAAACTATATATTTTTACCTTTAAGTATCTCAAAGTTCAAAGTTCATCCACTATATATATAAGCACTATATATATATATATATATATATATATATATATATATATATATATATATATATATATATATATATATATATATATATATATATATATGCTTTTGAGATTATTTTGGCCTTTAAGAATATATTTCTCATTTATGCTTTTGATTATTTTGTAAAGTGCAATGTTTAAGCACTATATATATTGCGATAAAGCGCAATATTTTTCAAAGCATATGTAGTTTCACTATATATAGGCATTTTTTTCCTTTTTGGCCAAAATATTATAAGCACTTTTTGAAATTATTAAGCACTATATATAAAACGCAATATTTTTCAAAAATTTATTTAACCGACTTTCCCATTGAATATTAAGCTGAAATTTTGTGGACACAATTTATATTCAAGAATATGCTCACAAAATTTCATCCAAAAATTTGACGTGAAACTCCTTAAACGGGCTTGGCCGTACGAGACAGCTGGTCTGACGCGCCTGACCAGATCAGTTCTCTAGTAAGTTATATTTGATTTTTACACTTAAGTTATCATGACACTATACTATAATAACTATTAGTTATTTTTTGTAAACAAGTTTTATTTTAATACTATTTTTTGAAAAAACACTCATCCAATTATATTTATTTTGATTATTATAAGCCCGAAAAGGATATTCTCATTCATTCATTCATTGCTTTATTTGAAGATTAATTGAATGATGTATTGACGTGTAAGATTATTTAAAAGATTATTCTTGTGAGAGAAAATTTATTCAGAGTTATTATTGAAAAAGATAATCCGATATCAAGATTTAAATTCAATTATTTTAGAATATAGTCAAAATACATTTAATACATGTCCTAAAAAAGTTAATTATTTGAGTATCATTATTGATGAACTTTGAACTTTGAGATTATTTTAAGGTAATATGAACTTTGACCCAATAAAAAAAATTAATGGACTAATATGCTATAGCAATGATGTGCAAGAAAAAAAAACATTTCATTTTAAGGACATGAATAGAAATGCTCTAACAGGAAAAACATGACCACCAAAGAGATCTATAACGAGCCATTTGTTAATTTCTCATTTATACTCGCACGGGTAGCTCAATTGGTCCAATGATGGGAAATTTGGAACAAGTGACCAAGGTTTGAAATCCGCGGTGGCCGTGTGGAGGTTACGGCTTCTGCGTGCTGGACTGGACCTCTGGTGCGCATGGATATAAGTCCTACCATCATTGGGCCGACTGAATCACCGTGATTCATCCTCCCAAAAATTTTGTTGGGTCAAGATATGGGGGCTCGTGGGGTGGGAGATTCCATCTTTTAGAATCTCATGATCTTTTACTGTTTACACAAAAATTTTGTCGGGTCAAGTTAATTTCTCATGATCTTTTACTGTTTACACAAAAGGCGATTCAAATTTCAAACGCCCGCTGACTTTCTTCTTAGTCCACACTCGAACTAGCCTTCATTCATTCATCCACAAGAGGTGATTTGCCTGATTACTCGCACTCATTCTTTCCGGCTCGCTTCTGTTCAACCCTCTGCTTATTTTTTCGTTTCATCTCAGGTTCGAACGCTTTGAAACCTCAACCCCAAGAATAGACACGTTTCGGAGGATTCCAGGGTATAGTAGATAAACCAATAGTGACCTTTATTTAAGATTTATATATGATTTTGACCTTTCACATTCCGGGGGCCGGGGTTTTACTTTTAAAAAAATAGTCATAATAATTTTTTGGGTGCTAAGAAGCTTTAAGAATTCTTCCAAAAAACGAAGCTTTAAGAAGAAGAGTCTACTTTCTTGAGTGTGTGGATAACTCACCTGTATCAAGAATTTATTGTAGTTTAGAGAGTGAGCTAAAAGGTGGGAGAAAATGTGATCTTTTTTGTTCTGTGCATGATTAGTGCTTGTTACTGGATTGCAGTTTGATTAGTTGAACCAATTAGCTAGTTTAATCCAAACTTTTTTGGCCATATTATTTCTGTTTAATTGTTTGAGAATTAGATCATCAATTTTACAATCTCTACTCGGGCTCTTTAACATACTATCTTGGTCAGACACATAGTTTGGAGCTTGCATTCGTTTGTTTTGTTACATACTCCTTAGCACTCTTTTGTTTTGTTACATACTCCTTGGCACATTTTCTGGACAATATTTGTCATGGAATCATACACCACTAACAGGTAAACCTGTCAACTTAATAAAAGGAGTAAATCTGAGGTCTTATACATTGAGATAAATCAACTAACTAGTTCAAGCCTAGGGTGCGTTTGGCAAGATGCAAAGTAAGCACTTTGCATCTTATGGAACATTTTTTTTTTGCACAGCCATATAAATGATTTTACTTGGGAGAGGGCGGTAAATCACTTGACATTTGACATGGTCAATATAAAAGAACACATGTTTTTTGTCCGTAATTTAAAAATGGATTGGACATCTAACTAAACAATGTTTGCATATATTACATTATTACCTGCGCCTACACCTCGCATGCAAATCTTTAATGCGAAAACTACTAAGCATCCAACCCCTTAGGCCTTATTATCCATCTGTTGCTGTTTGATTGTTTAATATAGAAGCTCTTACAATTGGAATGGATGAAACAAATTTATAATCCCATTCCCACTTTGTCATGGAATTCTGTCATCTGCTTCCCATGAAGCTTGGGAGAAAGAGTTTCATGAAGAAACAATAACAATGAGCATTTTCTTGTCCAGGTAGGGTGGCACTGTGTTGAAATTGCAATCCATGGCAAAAGGAAATAAAACTAACAGCTATGAAGAGGCTCGTAAGCAACAACTCTTGGACAACAAGAAACGCTTTGAGGTCACTTTTCCTTTCGACATAAATCTCTTCATATTTTGTAAGATAATATTGCTAGTTTTTGCCGGAATGGTGACATTCAGAAAATGTTGAATGATTTCAACTGTTAGCTATTAATGTTGTTATGAGTGTGATGTGCTGCTTATTGGTAATCGCTCACAAAAAATTGAAATACCTCTTTTTTGCTTTAAAGGATTTGGGGATTTTGAACATCTCCAAAAGCTTATCTAATCTTGCAAAGTCAGATAAGAAGGTTCGGGCTCAGGTGAATCCTTTGTTCTATGTTAAAACTTCCAACTTTTTTCTTTTGGTAGCAATAAACAGTATTATACTACATGTTCCTAGTCCAAAGTCGAGTCATTGTTGGTTTAAAATACTCTTTACTTGAACATATCAGCAGAAAGTACAACAAAAACCAAATGCTGCTTACATGTTGGAACCAAGACGCTCTACACGTGCTCGAAATCCCGTTCCATCATACCGTGAAAATGTAAGTTATCCTTTAAAAATATTAATAATAATGTACATTTATTGATAGAGTTCAAGATTAGATTGAATTCGTTCCATTGGGTTACAAGATCACACAAAAAGAATGATATCTAATAAATAGTTAGTTTAAGCCAATTTCTTCTTATTAACCATCATTCTCTCTTTACATGTCTCATGTGCATGTATTTGATTAGCAGTTGAAAAAATGTGTCTAATTCTTCTTCTTATACTTTCAGCTCGACGTATTAGAACTTCCATCTCTGCGGAAGAGGTCTAGGTTTAGCTCTTCATGGGCAAGGTAGCATCTATTCTCAAGCCTCTCACTGTAATTATAATTTCTCTTAACCATGTTATATTTTAGTCACAGTGCTTTAATCATTGTATGTCTAGCTATCTGGCAAGACCAATAGAAGAAGTCAGAGTGGCATCATATGAAGAAAGATCCCAAGCTTTTAAGGCTGCAGAGAAACTCCAAAGCAATCTGCAGTCTGGAAATCCATCCTTTGTCAAATCAATGGTTCGCTCTCATGTCTATAGCTGTTTCTGGTTGGTAAGTTACCACTACTCTCTTACTAGTGAATGAAAATGAAACTAGAGAAACAAATATGACCTGGAAAAAGGCCTGAGATTTTTATTTTATTTGTTTAGTTAGGATATATTTGGATAAAAAAAGATGGCAGGATATGGGTTTTTCTATAAGAAAATTGATTTGTTTATGTTTGGCCTTATGTATAAAGTAAGTAAGAAGTAAATCCAATTTGTTTTTCAACTCAAACTTAATGTTTTTTCTCAGAAATGTCTAAATAAAAATGTGAATAAACTTTCAAATGATTTGATGAGTTAGAAACTGAACCAATTCTTTAACTTTATCCTGCATCTTCTTTCGTTTCGAATAATCGACTATATTGCACTTAAACTTTCTTCCCATAGCTCTTCCGATTTCCAGACGGGCCCTCAATATGTTAAGATTGCAGGGTCTTCCTACCAGATTTTGTGATGATCATCTACCCAAGTCAACAGTGGACATGGTGCTAGAGGATGAGGAAGGAGCTGAATTTGATGCCATATTCATCAGCAAGAGAACTGGGCTTAGTGGGGGATGGAGAGCATTTGCACTGGAACATAAGCTTGATGATGGTGATGCTTTAGTTTTCGACTTGGTTGAACCTACAAAATTCAAGGTGCTTTCTTGTTTCACTTCTGATTTCCTAAAATGTGAATCATTCTAAGGACTCATACATGGCTTCCCACGGAATCTGATTGCTTAGGTGACACTGTCATCATGGTAGGGTCTGACTACTTTTTAATTAATACTGACTGATAAGTTGTATGGAACTACGTCTGGATACAAAGAGTGCCCGGGTAGACTGAATTTTCAACATAAAAACCTTAGGGATCAGGGTTTTACCAAAGACCAACTTATTCCATTGAAAACAAGTAATGCACTAGTCACTTTTTTTTATTGAATTTTACAATTCTACTCGTATTCTGTGATAATCCATATTGCTTCTTCTTATTTATCTAAATATATATACTTTTAAATTACTGTACTTATTTAGTTTTTTGTCCCCACGTTTAATCCTGGTACTGACACTTGATACCTGTTATGATTTTTTGTTACATGTTTGATTTTCTTTATCTGTTTTTAACCCTCTAACTATTGTTACAAACACAGTTCTAGTATTTATCTTTGAAATTTTCTCATTTCGGTCCTCTCATAAATCATAACTATGAAGGTGATACTATTGATATCCGAACTATCTTGCGACCCATTTGGTCCTTCACCTAGTCTGCCTAAATTCAAAGGTGAATACTAAAAGTGGTTCTCTCACAATTTTCAGATGACCAAAAGTGAAGAAAGGAAATGTATCAAAAGTGTCATTAACACAATAATCAAAGGACTAACATTAAAAAAAAAACTCCAAAGCATTTAGATAGTGTAGTAGATTAGCTTATTTAGTCACAACTTGCAAATGCAGCTACATGTACAACTTTAAACCTTTGAACTCAGTAATGTGTATTAAACTTGGTCGATTGCTCAACAGGTGTATATTGTTAAAGCATCCCACTCTTCAAGTCAGGTCAATGAGAGTGATGAAGGAGAAGGAGAAGAAGGAAAAGAAGAAGGAAAAGGAGGAGAAAGTGATGAAGAAAAAGAAACCAAACATAAGCCTGCCAAAATGGGAAAGAAAAGAGGCCGTCCATCAAAATAGTCATATTGTGGAGTAAAGTAGGTTAGATCGTGGACCGCTATCATGTTGAAGCCATTGTAGAATATGACAACATGCAGTTTGTAGATTTATTTATATCTATTAGCTGTAAAGGAGGGTTAATCTTAATGCTCCCCTCAACTTTTGTAACCACTGGTGCGGATAGATCCTTTTGTATTAACAAGTGTAATCGTAATGTGGGGGGTGGGGGACTAAACCAGACTAGGTCCGTTTGGTTTTGAACTATAAACAGACAACCCTTTTGGTATGAATTTAAATTAATGGTAATGTTTTTGGGTTTTCGGGTGATCAATCACTTGATACTTACTTTGCACATCTTGTTTGGGGTCAATTTAGGTCCATTTGTCCAACCTTACTTGGACAGTTGGACATGAGTTTAATATATAATCCTCGAGGTAAAACCCACCTTCTCTTCGTTTCAGTATATCAGAGATCAGACCCATTTGTGCAACATCAAAATACAATGCAACAATTCATATGAACAGTTGACCACAGATGTTTTTGTAATACCAGAAGCTCATTTAACTATAAAATGAACATATGGTTTCCTTTACCGCAAGAACTTTACATACACAACTTTATTCTTTTATTTACTTTCTCAGTAGTATCCACAATAAGCCAAACCAAACAGCAAACACGCCCGCTAAGTCCCACTCGTATAGTAAGCTTCAACTAATACCCCAACAAGAAAAAGGCGCATTTTATTGTCATTGGTACACTTCACACATGCTATAAAATATGAATGTATACAAAGGGCTACTCTTAAGTAGGTGCTTGTATAATGTATCTCCATATGCGGTTTATGCTGTTGCAACACGTAAAATAGTTGACCCAGGCTGACGAGCAGCAAGAGGCCCGTGGCATCCAAGTAGCTGTAGAGAGGCTACATATTCTTGTGTTAATCAATGTGGAGTATATATTATAGCTAACCACAAACAATGAAAAGATAACAGAACATGACAGGAAGACAAACCTTTAATGCATGCCATCCGGTGCAGGGGCGGAACCAGAAAAATGTCTTAGGGGGTCGAATATGGTGGATCGTTTTTAAACAATGTCCGAGTTGAATATTTCATATGCAGTTTAGATAAATAGGCATTCGTAGCAATAAGATGGATTTTCTTTGCTCTGTTTCTGAGCCGTGTCATGTAAGTATTGAGTGAATTATATACTATTTTTAAAATTTGGGAAAATAATCTATAGTATGCATCAAATTTTGATGATTTTACGTTTACATAGTGTTGATTTTCCAGAAGTCATAACTTTTTACTCATGATGAGTTACGGGGGCTATAATATATCAAATCGAAGATAATTCAGAGCTCTATACTGTTGAACTTTCAGCGGGGTCGGCTGAACACCCTGACCCCCTGGCTCCGCCCCTGATCAGGTGCAACACCATTTTCTTTTTTATAATTCACAGTCACAACTGTTTAATTTAGTGAAGCCCGAGCAACCAAAAGGTGATAACAAGAATTAAATATAATGCTCATTAAAGCATCAAATGATAGATACATAGGCTTCTTCCATTGATACTATTTCTTGTTTTTCCTGTTTCTGCTTCCAAAAGAAAAATGTTTCGTTTTTAAATATCTAAAACATATTTGGTCAGAATGTGGTGGATATACGGTTTATAGTAGTCCTAGATATTATAAGTTTATGAAAATGTATGCTTTGTCTGCCAAAAAAAGAAGAAAAAATCATAATTGAAAAGTTTCTTCTTTTAGTCCATAAAAAGTTTTAAAAGTCCCCCGAAAAGTCAATCTAATAGGTTAATTGGCTTGTTCTTGAATCTTTCTTGACTAAGATATATAGTTGGTCAAAGTTTTAAAGATGACAAAGTTTGAATCTTTCTTGACAAGTGTTTTAACTATAGTGTAATTAATATGTAAAATGAATAAATTCACAAACTTTTATAGCTTTTTCGACAGGTTAAGTGAATATTTTATTATTATTATGGTTAAGTGAATTGAAATAGTGAATTTAGATATAACAAAAACTGAGTGAGCCCAAATTTATATACTTGTATATAAAATTATAATTTTGATAATTATTATATTAATTCAGAATAGAATAGTAAAAGTTTGTTCAGATGAGGTTAATTTAAGTTGACATCTTAAGGTAATTATAAATAGAAGTTCACATATGGAAATCTCCAATTCAAAATTCCTCTAAATTGCAGTGCTAAATTGAGTATAGAGAGTTCATATGATCCGGGGCTGAGACAAACTTTACGCTAATCCTTAAGGATTGGCTCATGAGTCATCATACTCAAGTCAGATCAATACATTACTCATTGACAAAAAATGCTAATTGACTCGCTAACCAATAACCACTACTATGACTCCTACATCAACTCGAACGTTACTGAACGCACGTTAAACTATATCTGTAATGTCAACGATTTCAAGTTGAATCATAATTAGAGTTGAATCAGTTGTACTTTTCACGAATCACGATTACGAATTTATGGAAATCGAACAAGTATAGCAAATCACTGGTTCTAATTTTATAAAACTATGAACAAGAAACTCCTTAATGGGGAATAGGATGGTTGGTATTTAATTATTGAACACTCAAAGATTTAAATAAATGAAGATGTTCTTAAGGCAAGGAATATTAGAGTTAATCCGACGGCCGCATTTTAAAAACATGGGCAGTGATAAAAAGTTTAAAAATTTTAAAAACATGACAATATATGCAAACATCTTATAATGGATGAAGTGAAGCATGGGAGGATCTACCCCTAGGCTATATTGAGCTGGAACTCAGGACAATTCAATTCTATCAATTTTTAGTGTAAAATTTTCATTTTTCATCTTAACCTACATTACTAATATTTAATTAAACCTAATAGTACAGTCGGACGCTAGATATTCTATGTAACATATCGAGGCAAACGTATTTATAATCAGTTACGATGATTTGAATCATAATTACCCAATTTTGATAGATTTTGATGATGCCACTGTACTTAACACGTGTACATTGTGTCTCAATATTATTCGTGTGTTAGCATTCAAAATTACGTGACAAAATAAAATGTACAATTTTTGAGTCAATTTGAATATTACCGGAAAAGTTAAAACGCAATAAGGTAATTTTTATTTACCTTAATAGGATATTCAGATCCTACCGGTATATATTATTTTAGCTCAAAAGTTAACACTGAATGTCACATTATTAAAGAAAAGAAGCTCGGAAAATCAAATGCATTGAATGTAAATGATTGAAAACAAAAATTGACTAGGCAATTAATGCATGGGACCGGAGCATAGGACGCATATATTATTATCAGGAGAAGATTTTCCGAAGAGATGCTTCAGCGGCTGAGATACTCAAGACAAAGAAATCATCCCAAATAAATGCTCCAGCACAAAAAGACGAATGTACAATTCGTCCTTGCAAGAATTTCAACGTCAGAGATTAATTCATCCTAACCAACGGATGAGATTAATCCAAAGGAGAAGCCTATAAATATAGGCTGAAACGAAAGTTTCTAACCAAGCTTTGAGCATCCAAAGTAGAGAAATACTCACACAAGCATTCACGAGCTATCTAGCAAAAGAGAAACTGCTATTCTAAACTTTACTCTCTGCTTGGACTCATGCTTCACTAAACTTCCAGTTTACAAGCTATTCATTGCTAAATCATAGAAGTTTAGTTCCTAGTTGGAGGTTAGAACTTTCTTGTAACATTTCACAAGTTGTTGTAAACACTTAGGAGAACAGTTGTTCGGATCCTAAAGTGTGAGTAGATAGATAGAGTACCTTTTGATCCCTATGGGTTCATTAGAGAAAAGTCTAAGGACTGAGTAACTTTGAGTGGTGCTATACTCATTGTGAAAAACCTTCAATCGAGGCCTAAGTGTTGTAAAGGCTAGATTGACACTAAGTGTATTGGGCTTAATACTTTAGTGAAATCCATCTGAAAGAGGGTGGGACTGGACGTAGGAGGATTACACCACCTCTGAACCAGGATACACTGTGTGTGGATTTACATTCATTCAACAAAGCACACACTTAGCACTTCTTACAAAAAGATTGAAGTTTGCCAACAGAATCCTAAGCAGTTGTCTTAACTGACCCAACTGCTTATCCTACTGCTAAATTACTTACTTTCTTTGAGACCATTTTCACACAAGAGACGTGCATCAATATCACTAAAAGGCATGTCCAATCATTTTCCAGAAATTCATTCTCTAAGCATAGCAGGTGCCTCAGCAGTCCACTGGTGTCCACCCAACTGCTGAGCCCTCTGCTCGTATACACTTGTTTCTCTTAAGCATCTCAATATCACCGTACCTTCATAACATTACCAACGAGGAAGTTGACCAAACTGCTCTCTGAAATTCACCCTCTAAACCAAGCAGGTACCTCAGCAGTGCCCTCATCACCACCCAACTGCTGAGACCACTGCTTCAGTAAAACTCTTGATTACTTTTACTAAAGCACATTTTCTGAAAGCCCTCATTATTCTCAGCAACATTCCATCATCACTTTCATCAAACACCCAATAAATCCTCAGCAGTTGCCTTAGCAGTTCCCTGTTATCTAGCCAACTGTCAAGCCAACTGCCAGACATTTGGGTTCAATCTTCCACCAGGATCGAAAGTATTCATACACTGATTCCATAAAGGGTAAAGACTTCCGCTGTGCATCTATAATTCTCTCAAAAGATTATAGATCAACTCTTTAGAGGGAGAAACGCTTTAAAATTGAAAAAGATTTAAAAGTCTATTCACCCCCTCTAGACTTTTACCCTATCCGGGACCATCATATTAGTTTAGTCTATTTTTGCAAAATTTACCTAATTTACATGGTAAAATATACTCCGTAGCATTTTAACAAGTCTGGTCTAAATCTTTAAGTTTAGCTTTGATTTGATATTTCTTGATATGTATAATTAATTTTAAGATGGTATGATCAAATATATATATTCTGTTTGGATTAAAATAAGAATGAATTTTAGCAAAAAAAAGTTAATAATAACACCTTATACATATTTGAACTTCATTTTAGGAAGTAAAACATTCTATATTTGGCAAAGTATACTTGAAGCAGAAGGGGTTATAAGTGGAGGCACCACATGATGTGTAAGGAGTGAGAAAGACATCTTTGTGTTGCAAGGTATGGGGGACATGATGGATTCTCCCCCCAAACTAGACATGAATGTGGCAACTCTTATTAAAGAGGATAGGCCGGTCTGGAATATGGAGCATCTACAAAACTTGTTTTCAGCTCGGGAAAGAGCATCTATTTTGAGTATACCCCCA